TATTTTTATAAAATATTACTTTTTTTAACTTTATAATTTCTAATGTGTTTAAAAAGAAAATGAAAAATTGAATTTTATTTAATGTCTATAACGGCCGAAACTGGATCTTATGTTAGATGCTTTAAACTTTAAATAATTAGTGAATTTATATACTAAATATGTAATCATTTGAACTGCGGGCCGAATTGATTTTTCGGACTTTAAATTACTATAGTAATATCACAAATTAAATTGACATTTAATTTAGAAATTATTTAAAATATCTAATGTAAGATTCAATTTTAACTGTTATAGGCATTAAACTCTTATTTATTGTTTATTCACATATATCTGGTTTATAAATATTTATACATATTTATGCATAAAAAAAATTTTTTATGCATAAATATGTATAAATATTTATAAACATGTAATTATATATGAAATATATTCATACATGTTCATACATCATTTTTTCTTTTGTAAAATTACTTTTTAGTGTAATAAAAATAATAATAGTAATGTGAAAACATTAAAAATAATTAAAAAAATAATTTTCGCATTACTTGTTTTAGAAAAAATTAAGTTTGAAGAAATGTAAAAATATTACTTACGTATAATTATATATAAAATTATGCATAATTATGTATGAGCAATTTTTTTTACATTTTTCCAAACTTGTTTTTTTCTAAAACAATGCAAAAATTATTATTAATTTATCCTTTTAATTATTTTTTTATGTTTTCACATTACTATTATTATTTCTATTACATTAAAAAGTAATAATTTTACAAAAGAAAGAAAGTATATAAACATGTATAATTATACATGAACATATATGGATATATTTCATGTATAATTATACATGTTTATGAATATTTCGGCGTGTTTATATATGTTTATATATGTTTATATATGTTTATACATATTCATGCATAAAAAATTTTTTATCTGGTACGATCTTAATAAATCGTTTATTATTGAATTTTGTTTACTTTGGGACATATCCAGCAAATTGTAAAAATTTATAACATAAATTGAACATTTCGATCATAGCACTTATTTGTGAGGGTAACAATCCAGTGTCTTTTGCTTTATTCAGCACCATGTACAAAATGGGTAGAAATAAATTTAGAAAACAGACCTTCGCCACTTCAAATATTTTGTCAAATGATGCATTGATTAATGTCATGATTTTTTCGCGCACGAAATCGACTATGTTAATTTTCTTAAACTGATTTAGCAATGTCGAGATGTTAGCTGAAGCTATTTCAGACCATACATCTTTTCCAGTCAATAAATCACTTATAAAAGTCATGAAATTTTTATCTATAGATCTAACATCGTTAAATTCCAATAAGCTTAAGAGTGCGTTTATCGGAGTTGGCATAACTGATGAAATGGTTCTCTTGTATCTCACGAGAGATCTTTCGAAAGGCATATTTGCATAGTTTTTGTAATCTCCATTATCTGAAAAAAATGGCATATTAAAAGGATAATTATTGTATAATATAAATATTAATTTTAAAAAGGATAATTATTGTATAATGTAAATATTAATTTTATCTTTCATATTTTATTTGTATAAAACCATACTATAATATTTAATTATATTGTAATTATTCTTTCTTCGAATATATAAAAATCTTTTTCTCTGAAAATGATTTCAAATGCAGCCAAAATGTTTGAAGTTTAAAAAGTTTAATTAAAAATGTATTACTTTTATAAAACTTATGCACACCACATTTTCATTTGTCTATTTTATTTGTAAAATTTATCATTTTAATATCAAGAATTTATTCTTTTTTTAGAGATTTTTTAGAAAAGTCTATACTTTTCAAGAAGTTTACACTTTTTATATAAAAATTTTATTAATTTATTTAAAAAGCGCATATTAAGGAGTGATTTAGCAAAATGTTTTTTTAAAAATATTATTTGGCCGATACATTAATCCGTAAATGAATAAAATTCTGTTTGTTTCATAACGCGTTACTTAATATCATAATGCTGTAAACTATGATTAAAATATTAAAATATGATTTCATCAAAAATTAAAATATTTTTAGATAGTAATGCTAATATTACAATCATATTATTAATATGTTATTATAAGACTTACTTTCTATTGCTTTAGTGTGATCTTTTTCATCATATGTCTGACAGGTGCCATATACTACAGCCAGACAAAGAATCAGAAGTGGTATCTTCATTTTGTAAACCATTAACTTTACTTTATTAGAAGTATTGAAATCTGTCGTTAATTTCGACTGGCGATTTTTATTTCCTTTCTTGCCTCGTCGGAATTTTTTGCGATTAGCCACTTTTCTAACGTATGTCTCTCCTTTTTATTGTTACCTTTTGGTAGAAGTCTTTGACAGAATTAATTAGTTTAATACAATCTTTTGACAACCTGACGTTCTAGTCGTCTTAATTGATTCCGTAAGCGATAAAAGTTTCAAATAATGTTCGAAGCAGACAATGCGAGGTCTCGAATTAATGTTCTATTTGCTAATTGCGCCCTGTTATTTGCATTCGGACATTAACTTGATCATTTATTTTGTTCTACGTTTTATTCGTATACGTTATATTAACAACTTTTGCTTATTTTGATAATAAATATACTTGCAATTTGCACTGGACTTGTTTGCTTACGAAGACAGCATTTGTAGAACTAACAATACAAACGACTTTTCACGGACAGCATTGACGCATACTATGTTACGTATAGTCCTGGTTATCGGTACTAATTTCACATGGAAAAACGCTTTCGATATCTACAGTGACATTTACGGTTTATCTATACCTTCTTTCCATTATTGCTGTATTTTTGGCGTGATGCGATACATTTTGGTTTCCGGGTACGTTTACTGGTTATTAAATAAAATGACAAATTATTTTGTGAAGACAATCGAAACTAGATACATAACTTAAAACGCTAAACATTAATAAAATATTATTTTCATACATGCATAAATGAACCTTGTCGCAATAAATTGCCAATCAATTTCGTTATTCTTCAAAAAAGGTTTTGCTGACATAAGTGCTTTCTAGCTAAGAAACTTAATGCATGTACATATATATCATATATTATGATTTTAATGGTAAGAATCAACGATCTTATAAACAAATAATTACAATCTAATTTGCTTATAAGTTAAGTAATTATTTCTCATAAATATTTCGTTAAAAAATATATGATCATTAATTAATTTTACACGAAAAAATAGTAAAAAAAGATTTGATTTTATATTGTATCATGTACTTTATTGTATTAGCAAGACGAAATTTAAGATTAATACTTGTATTAACATTATAAAGATATATTATTGTGCTTTTTTAAATTAAATTGTAAATGTCTCCAATGATATGTTTCTCAGATTCGTATTATCAATCGAATCAATTTCGTGCCTTACTTATTTTATTAACTATTTCATCGAATGTTCGTGAAACGCAGAAATCGTGAAGTTCACTGGACGTAATAGATAAAAAGATTGATTAATCGATTGTTTATTCCAAATTTTTTACCATATGATTGAATAATTAGGTGATGAAACAATGAAATAAATAAGTAGTCTATGATTTAATGATGCAAACCGCGAGAGAAGTACACATGCACCCTTCTGGCTCATAAAATAATTAAATGGGAAATAGGAAAATTTACAGGAAAAAGAAGTCGCGTAATTATATAATATAATTTTTTTAATTGAACATTCAATGCATGAATACTAATTAATGTAATAAAATTTTAAGAAATTCATTTTAGAAAAATCAATGTTGAAACAAAAATTTAGTTATTGCAGTCTAAATTTATTCATCGTATTATCAATGAATTCATTAATATCTGCAATTGGCGTTCGAATTTAAATTCTTCTGAGTGCACCCTCTTGCAAATAGTTCTGCCAGCGCCCATAGATACAAGCCTATGGATACAAATTTATTAGAAATCAAGTTAATCAAATAATCAAGAAAGAAAACTTACTTAAAGATCAAGAGTATAAAAATAAAAGACAAAAATTCGTAGTTATATCGGAAGAATTAAACACAATAACATTATGACTGACAATGAATCAAAGATTGGATGTCAGAAAAAAACTATGAAATGTTAAAAGCAAATACGTATTAAAAAAGTAATTATTTGAACGTATATAAAGCCCGATCTATAATTGTAAAAGTAGTTGTAAGAACTGGTTTTAGTCAAAGGACCATATCCGGCTTCGCGCAACAATGTTTCTTAATAAAGCAATAAATGTTAAATATTATAATTATTGACAATGTAAGTTTTTTAATTAGTAAATAATCAGTAAATTACAGTATATTTTATTTACATATATTTGATAACTTATTACACATTTCATTACTGGTAACGTAATATTGTAATGTATTCATTATTTTAATTTAAAAACATTTTTTGTAAGGCTGGCTACCTCGCCAAAATTGCTTGCATACAAAACAAATTAAGTTAGTAATAATTTAGCAAGTTTATGAGAAATTGATTCATGTATCTTACTTGCATATACACTTAATTTAATTTTTTACATTAGCATAATATTATTTAAATTGTTAGTAAATTTAATTGTGATATTATTACTCTGGTTTTGTTAATAAATGCATTTTAAAACGGAAAGATTTTGGTGCATTTTTATAGAATTGAATGTGTATATAAATTCATACAAAAAATTTAAGCACTGATTTTAAGTTTAACCGCATAAAGGCTTTTTTTCATTTATTACTTGTGTATATTACATATGTGGTCTTAAAAACATTTTTATATTTAAAGTCTATTCAAACTGTTATTATTAAAGAATATATTTTTATCTTTGATATAATGATTTTTCTTTCCAAGAATTAGCCCTGCATTTTTTTACACCCACATTAAGATTACTAGAGCTGGCCCTAATTGTAAGTATTGTATTATACATAATTGTAATTGTAAGACTTGACCAATCACAATACGAGGATAATATCTGACTGTGATTGGTGATTTCTTATAAATACGACTACTTACAACTATGTTTACTCAATTGTAGATTAGATTTAAAGAGTATCCTGCAATATTATAAAATAATAGTAAATAAACTTACTATATTTATTTAACAATAAACACAGTAAATAAATGTTAAATACCACATACGCATAAAATAAATATTCTGTATTGAATTGTAAATTAAAATTTTTTTTTTAATTTAATATATAACTTTTCATGAAATTAAATGCTTTTCCATCATTCTAAAATTTCCATCTAAAATTTTAACATTCTTCTAATCAAAGTCATGATCGTAATTTCTATTCAATAATTCAGTAATTACAAAATGTTTAGATATATTTATGTGTAATCAAATATATCCCGGTATCTTGTTTCCAGTTGTCTATTTGTTTATCCTACATAGAACGCACATCACAATTTTTAAATAAAATTTTGTACATATTATATGTATTACATATAATGTAATATATGTATATAATAATGTATAATATGCATATAATAATGTAATATATGTATTACATGTAACTAATCTATTTATATTTTTTGTAAAATTTTTTTAGTTATTGTAAGAAAATTTAAAATAAGAAGTTTAATGTTGATAAGAATTGTTACGTCGTTTACAATTAAAGTTATTTCATTGACATACTATTTAATATGAAAAAAAAAATCGATTTCTCTTAAGTGATTTCTCTATCAATATCATTCTATCAGCGTGCAATTGTATTTCTATGGGACAATAGAGTATCATGCACGGAAAACACATTCTATATATTTTTAGTAAATTTATGATAATAAATATTGGTTTTTCAGATATTATGAATCTGTATTCTAATAGTCAAATTTTATAAAAAAATAAGCAATAACTGCACTCTCTTTAAAAACAAAATAATCTTTTCTTCATTTACATTAATATGCTCTTCAGATTTTTACTGAATGTAATAGAGAATTTATTTAATTATATTTAAGCATATATTACATGTATTTGTATATGAATACTTACGACTGGCCTGCTATATTATTAATAGAGCGAAAAAGATGAAAATAGGATAGATAAGTTTTCGTAATATGATACTTCTCTATCACATCAAGAGAATGTCTAATGTTTACATACTTGTATTCTTATAAATAATTTACATAATGGATCCGTATACATATATGAACATTACATAAATAAATTAAATTCTTGAGGAAAATTAATTCTTGCAGATGAGAGAGATCACTAGATTTTATCTATAATAAACTTTTAAAAAAATTGCTGATAGTAGCATTTATCATTATCATTTTTATTTTTTATAATAGAATTTTTGAAAAATGTTAAAAAAATAGCAATTATATATTTCATACGCTTTAATATCTTGCGCGAATAATGTGCTATTAAAGTTAATAAGGCAACGACAAAAAAATATATTGATAAGTTTTATAGTCAGTTATGCACACAATTGAAGATCTTAATTTAATTTACTAAAAGCTTTAAAAAATTTATAGTCGTTCTTACATTTTCTAGAAAAAACAATAGGGATTGCCTAACTCTTTAAAGTAAGCTAAACATTGGTGATAATATTTGCAGTAGAATTCTTTTTATCTGCATTCTATTTATGCAAATTTATGTTCAGTTTTAAATATTCAAATTCATATCAAAGTTTATTATTCGAATTACGGGAGTTGTAATTTAAATAATAAGAGCTCGATGTCCTCGACTTCAGTTTTTTGAATGTCAGCTCGGAACTATAAATGATAGTGAAGAAGGTGTAGTAAATGTATCATAATTCCCAGACAACATAGAATATTTACAATAAATATTACAATATATATTTACAATAACTATTTTATATTTTTATATAAGCTTTATTCGAAAATATTAATAAAAGACTAAATGTTTTATATAATATTTATGATAAACATAAATAAATATTTTTAATGATGATGAACATAGATAAATATTTTTTGTTTAGATTAT